CACGTGCCGGCGGGGTGTTCGACTTCTCGCGCCGCTTGGAGTTCATCCCGGCCGGCTTGAGGTCGCCAAAACCCTCACGCGCGCGCTTCGCGCACGCATCTGCGAAGCTGACAGCCTCTCCCTCCCTTGCGTCAGACGAGGCGACGACCGACTCGTCCCCCTCCATGAAGTCCGACCGCATCATCTCGCCGGTGAGCCAGTTCTTAAACACGCCCCCGTGCCCGTCCGCCTCGTCCTTGCCGTGCCCCGTGACCTCCAGCATCTGGTCGATGGTCACACGCTTCCCTTTCGCCCGCAGGTCAGCGACTAGCACGCAGAGCAGGTACATGGCTTTGCTGCACTTGTACTGTTTAGCGCACCCGTCCGTCTTGAGCCACACAGTGCCCCCGTCTAGTAGCACATTCGCTTGCAGCAGCTCATCCAGCATGACACGCATGTTGTGCGTCGTCACTTTGGCCTCTTGCGCCTTGTAGTCAGAGCAGTGGTAGTAGATCTGCTTCTCTAGCACACCGAGCGAGTCGAGCTCCTTGCCCCGCTCCTCAGGCGACATGGAGGCGAGCCCGGCCAGCACCGGGTCGTCCGCCGGGATCGTCGCCTTGAACCCCTCAGCCACAGCCACCTCGATAGTGATAGCGGTATTGACCCAATGCTCAGTCTGAATCTGCGTCCTGCGCAGGCGGTTGAGTTTCTCCGAGTAGTCCATGATCAGCGAGAGGTCACCTTTCCGAATGGCCGCCCTGTCTTTGCGCACCATCCAGGTCCACTTTGCCATCTGGTTGTGAAAGCAGAAGTATTGCAGTTTCTCTCGGTACTGCTGCATGAATTCGCCGATAGGCACGGTCTTCTCGACCAGCATCAGCTTCGACGTCTTCTTGCGGTCGCCAGTGGTCTCGTCGACGTACGACGTCTCCACCTCACGTGTCTCATACACCTGGTGTGTGACGCGGTAGGCGGTCGCCGACGTGTCCTCCTCGCGCGGGCTCGTCTTCATCTTGGACACCCCGCAGTGCTTGCAGCGGCCGAGTATGCACCTGAGAGAGAGCGCTTACTGTAACGTGTAGCGCTACCGTAGCGGGGTTGGTTTTTTTGCCGGTGGCAGGTGCCCCTCGAGCAAATGTGTCGGAGAGTATCCGCCTAGAGTGTTTCTACTCATAATAATGTTCGAAGCGATTCGGGTGTGTGGTTTTGGATTTTTAGCGTAAAAACAACAGCTTGGGTCCATCTTCTCTGGCTACAGGCTGTGACAGCGAGAATAGAGTGAGCCACGACCGAAATTGCATCTACGGCGCACGTCAGGCTCGCCGAGCCCGTCGCGTCGCATGGCTGGCACAGCGAGGCAGCGACGGCGTCCTTGGGCGCGGCGTGGTCGTACGCGGCCGTGTAGCCGGCGCCGTGCCGCTTGGCGAGCGACGCGCGCGCCCGGTTCAGGGCCTGGTGCTGGAGCCGGAACTCGATGCAGTACCTAGGAGAAGCACGCAGAAGATTCACGCACGGGCAGGCACGTGGCAGCGCGGCGCGGTGCGCGCGCCGGCAGCCGCACATGTCCAAGTGGCGCTTGGTCATGCGCCGCAGCTCGCGTGGCCTCAGCTTCCGGAAGGCAGCCTCGCCAATGATGACGGTCGGGTTGGCCTTTTTGAAGTCGAGGTACACGTCCGTCAGCGAGACCTCGCTCAACAGCTTGGGCACGAAGATGTCCTCGCCCTGGTCGTCCTTGAATTTCAGCACGTCGGACTTGATGGGCGAGCGCTTGATCGAGGGGTGCGCCACGTAGAACTCGAGCACCATGCGCTTCACCTCGTCACTGTGCCGGTGGCCGAGCAGCGTCCGCGTTGCAAGCCAATACGCCCGCAGCTCGGGGTCATCCAGCTTGCGCCGCCGCTCGAGGGCCGCAACGAGGCGGCGGTGCGTGGTGGACGGCGACATGCCGAGCAGCTCAGCGATCTCGCGCACGCGCGACACCTTGGCGACCGGCACCTCGCCGCCGTCCGCCTTCGCCTTCTTCGCGTGTCGGCCGCGCTGCAGCGCCTCGCCCTCCTCCTCCTGCGCCAGGAAGACGAGCAGTGTGTCGACCGCCTGATGCTCGTCGTTCGTCAGCGACCCGCGCGACCGCTTCCCGTCCGTCGCGAAGATGCCCGCGAGTGACTTGCGCACGCGCCCGAGCAGCTCCTCAGCCAAAGAGACGTCGGACTGCGTTCGCAGGCCGACGGAGGCCGCCGCCTCCGGGTACCTCTTCACGACGGCGTCGAGCACGACGCCCGCCTGGTACGGATCGGCCGGCAAAGAATCGGCGGTCTTGGATACCGCTCGCTGCGAAGCCCGCACGGTCGCCGCGTCGCCTCGCGCCTGGCCGTCGGAGCGCACGCGAAAGGCTTCGTTGCGTTGCTCGATGCTGACCGGTTCGAGCGGCCCAGACTTCGGCAACAGCGCCTCCCGCGCTCGCGCCAGCTCCGCCGCCTTGGCCGCGTGCGCCAGCGACGCCGCCGCCGCCGCCTCAGTCTTCGCCGCCAGTTG